TGTCCATGTACGAAAAAAAAAATAAAATCCCAACCTTACAGAACTTTGTTAGCTTTTCCAATAACTTTATAAAACACTTGATTTTGTTAAAGTTTCTGATTCTGTGCTGATTATCATTGCTCAGATGAGTAAGTATATGCTTACCCTCAGCCCATTTCCTTTGAATCTGAATATTGAGTGTTTCAAAAGCTATGTACAGTTCTAAATGGCTAAAGAGAAAACTGACAAGCCTGAAAATTGACTTGTAACAAAGAAGACCTCCTGAAAATGAGGAGCATTCTCACAGTTTATCTTTCTTTAAATTTTAACTTTAATAAATGTATACTGGCCTGTGCCTTAGACATAAATCACACATGTCACTTAGTAGTGTGAGTTTGATTTGATTTTATAGGTTGTTAAAGTATTATAGGTATTTACACAGATTTATTAGAGCAGTTGCTCAGTTTTCAGTTCTTTCAACTGAAAGTGGTAATATTGAAGGCTATTAAATTTGGGGCCTCAATTTTGTTTAGCTGTGAGTTAGCACAAGAGTAAAATGTTGCAGAATTCAGTGAAAGCTCTGACTGTCCATGTTCTGGGAAGAGAATGGTTTTCATCAGGTAACTATGAAGATCTGTAAGGAGCTGCATGCTTCCTATCAGGTCATTGCTTTGAAGGGTTCAGCTCTGCTGTGGAGCTCAGTGGGTCAGTACCAGTGTGTTCCCTACTCTGAACAGTGGCATGAGGGTGGCCGGGGAATTCTGTTCCTGGAGATGTTGTGGTAAGGCTTGTACAGCTGTGGAAAAGGCTCTAGAAATTCTCACACACAGAGACACTAAATAAATAAATAAACACCCAAACCTGAAAAAAAAAAAAAAAACACCCCAAACCAGCTAGTGGCATGGTCTCTGTGGGAGGATTTGGAATGTGAAGTATCAGTTTTATTGATGTCTCCTGCCCTTTTCATGTTCTGTGCATATTAGGACCCTCTAAAATTTACTTTTTTATACTCTTCCTGTTTACAAGCAGAAAAAACCTGTTCCCAAGGCCCCCCAAATTCCCAAGAACAATAAGAAATCTTACTGCGTGAAACTTCTTACAGTTTCATTTTGTAGTGTGAATGGCAATAAATTGGTTAATAGAGAAAAACAGATATGACCGGAACAATTGGGGTTTGGGGTTTTATTTTGTGGAGCTTTGGGATTTTTTTGTTGTTTGCTTGTGGGTTTTTTGTTGGTTGGTTGTGGTTTTTTTGTGTGTGTGTGTGTGTTTGTTTTTTTTTTTTTAAGTTTGCCACTCTAGTTTGCATGGCTCATTGACATAGTGACGCTGGCATGACATTCAGGGTTGTAGAGTGGTTTTTATTGAGAAGAACTTAATTATATTTTTCATTTTGTTCCCACACCTCCAGATGCTTAGCTGTAGGATAAAAGAAAACAAACTTGACTAAAGCATTAAAATAATTCATTTAAAAATTTTTATTTAATACCCACCTTACCTTAAAATAAGCATCATCTTGAGTCATTTGAGTCTGATTCCAGATTGCACTGAATTGTGTCTGAATGGATTCCCATCTAATTCCAGCCTGTGTTGTAGTTTGACTAGGACATCCTTGTTGGTCAACAAAAATGTGTGCAAACTGTGTAAAACAACACAGTCAACCCCCCCCTTATGCGTGTGTAACTTCATAAGTATTATTGATGCCACTTCAATATTTTCAGGTTCTGTGGGGGATTACAGATAGTGTAAGGAAGAGTGTGGGGGTGCTGACCCTGGCTGGCTGCCAGGTGCCCACCAAAGCAGTTCTGTCATTCCCTTCCTCAGCTAGATGGGGGAGAGAAAATGCAGCAAAAGGCTCAGGGGTCAAGGTATGGAGATGGAGAGATGACTCACCACTTACTGTCATGGGCAAAGCAGACTCTGCTTGGGGAAATTAGTTTCATTTATTACCAATCAAATCAGAGTTGGGTCATATTAAAAATGCCTCCCCCCACCTCCCTGCCCCTCCCTTCCCCCTGGCCTCAACTTCAGTCCCAGTTTCTCTGTCTCCTTCCCTGGATCAGCACAGGGGGGGGACTGTGAATGGGAGTTGTGGTCAGTTCATCACATGTCTCTGCCACTCCTTCCTCCCCAGGTGGAGGGCTCCTCATGTTCTTCCCCTGCTTCAGCCTGGGGTCCTTTCCATGGGAGACAGTCTTCCATGAACTTTGCAGCGTGAGTCCTTCCCATGGCCTGCAGTGCTTCACAAACTGCTCCAGGGTGTGTCCCTTCCAAAGGGTGTAGTCCTTCAAGAACTGACTGCTCCAGCATGGGTCCCTCACAGGGTCACAAGTCCTGCTAGCCAGTGTGCTCCAGTGTGGGCTTGTCTTTCCATGGATCCACAGATCCTGCCAGAAGCCTTCTCCAGTATGGACTTCCATGAAGTCAAAGCTTCCTTTAGGCATCCATCTCCTCTGGGGGCTGCAGGTGGATATCTGCTCCACTGTGACCTTCATGGGCTGAAGGGGTTAAGTCTGCCTCACCGTGGTCTTCACCACAGGCTGCAGGGGAATCTCTGCTCCAGCATCTGAAGTACCTCCTCCCCCTCCCTCTTCTCTGACCCCCTTGTCTGCTGGGCTTTTTCTCTCACGTTCTTACTCCTTTCGCTGGCTACAGCTGCTGAAGTGCCACAACTTTTCCCCCTGCTTAAATATGTTATCCCTGAGGTGCTACAACTGTTGCTGATGGCCTTGGCCTGGACCAGCAGTGAGTCCCTCTTGGAGCCAGTCACCCTTGGACTTCCCCGCTACCAAAATCTTGCCATGCAAACCCAGTGCAGAGTGGAATTTAGAATTAGCCATAATACTATTGAAAAGTAACCAATTACATTTCTGGTTTTACTTGCTGTTGTTGTTCAGCTTTTATTTACAGTCTGTCTTTTGGAAGAAACTGTTAATCAATTAATGGCTGCTTATTTGCTAATAACACTGAATATGAAGTCCATTCTCCTTGTATTGTGTTATTTGAAGGCAGGTAGTCAAGAGGGCAGTCACAAGTACTGTCCTTCTCCAGGCCCTTTATCTCCTCTAAGACTGCAGCCTTAAAGAGGTCCTCAGTAGAGTTGCTCTGTTTTGAAATGGGTGCAGGCTGATGCCTTTCTCAGACTCCTTGGCTTATCCCAAGTGCCAGCACTGATTGCTGTGAGGCATCTAAAGCATGTGTGAGAGATCTGGCCAGTGGAACAGCTTTAGGGTGACCTCTGTTGAGGACCTTCAGCTTTTCCAGAGGTGTTTGGGTGGGAGGGATTGTTCTCGTGTGTAGCTCTTCTTGTTGGAGTTCTGCAGGACCACGTTTCTTGCATCTTCTGTGCAACAGGTAAGCATAGGCTGTGGGAACATCTGGTTAAAAATTATGGTGATACCAAGTGTGGTGCAAAAACTGTAGCACTCTTCCCCCCACCCTTAGTTTCCTGTGCACACAGCCGTGGTAGGGCTTGCCCAGCTCTAACGCATGAGATTGGTGTGTGCTGCCTGGTGTCACGAACTCAACTTTGCCATGGTTTTGGGTGCTCTTTGCAGGATCCAGCTTGCTGACCTGTTGAACCCTGTCGGTGGCAGAAGGCTGAGTGAGCTGTTGTCCTTTACTGGGTCACTTCAGGAAGCAAGCAGTGTTCTATTTATACTGCAGTTCATATTCATTCTTGTTGGTGATGAAGCAGTGTCCAGGGTTGGGGTGCAGCACCTTGGGGTCCTTGCAGCTCTAGCAGTACTTTTTAAAACTAAGTAGCTTTACCCTGTGACTTTGGATTACTTTATAGGTCTTTAGAACTTGAATCAAGTAACTGGTGTGTATGTGGTTTTATTTCAAACAGGTGGATGGTGCTTTGTCCTTATGACTACTATACAAATACTAGCAGCTTCCAGTGTCTACCATGTATTCCTTAATGTACTCTTGTGTCTTGTTAAGTTTGCTCTTAGGTTGGCATTTTACTACTATGTCCAGGTTTTAACCTGGATGTAGAAGTAAAATAGCAGTTTTCTACTATTACATTTTTTTTTTCTAGTTGAAATAAGTGGGATTTTTAATTTGCATGTTGTATTACTGCTTGGAAAGTCATTTGCTGGATTCTGGTGCTGAGCATTTGTGCCTTCAGAAAAAAAAAAAAAAGGTAGATCAAAGGAAGTGAAGTACCCTCAAGTCCAAGGGCTGACTTTTAGAGTAAAAATGCATGTTTAATTTCTGCAACTCTCCGCTGTTATCTTCTTCTGTACATGAGCATTGGATAAACCAAACCTTCTGTGTACTCCCCTGATACAGTGGGGAAACTACCAAACAACTAAGAAGTTGATATTCCTTTTTTTATTCTATTGAGTCTTTTATCTGCTGAGAATTAAGAAAACAGATGAAAAATTAGTAAGTGGTATGCTCTGCTTACTGTATTGGTCATGTACATACTATTATTTTTTGTGATGATTTTCCTATTAATGCATGTTGTGTGTTCATAGTGAAATTGATTTTGCTATGGAAAGTGTCAACGTGGGGATGATGATTTGAATCTGAAAACTTGTTTGCAGAATTATCGTCCTGCTGTACATTCATATATATATTCATGTATATTCATACAGGGTTATAAATGATGTGGTGTTTTTAGAAATATAAATTAATCAAGCTTGATCTGTTTGACAGTTCTTTCATCCTTCTTTGGATTGTAAGTTAAGAATGGTGAATGTCAGCCTCCAATAAAAGTAGTATACTGTAGAATTAAGTCTTGGATACTGTTGTGTTTGCATTCTCTACTTAAGCCTGGACTTCCTTGTTGTAGTTTATTTTCTTGATAACAGGTAATGATGAACTGCTACAACATCATGTTCAAGATCTCAAACACACAACAGTAATACAGTTCCTACAGGGGGTTTGCTAATCTGAGCTCTGTTTTACAAAAATTGTATGAATGCTGTTTTCCTTTGAAACTGATCTTCAAAAAGAAGTTCTGTTTTGTATAAGATGCCAGACTCACAAAGATTTCCTTTCTTGTTTCATAGACGTTCCATCTTCAGAGCAGCCTGAACTGTTCCTAAAGAAACTTCAACAGTGCTGTGTCATTTTTGACTTCATGGACACGCTTTCAGACCTTAAAATGAAAGAATACAAGCGCTCCACTCTTAATGAACTGGTGGACTACATTACAATAAGCAGAGGCTGTTTGACAGAGCAGACTTACCCTGAAGTAGTTAGAATGGTGAGTTCCTTCTTTCTCATGGTCTCTTTAAATCCACTTGCAGTCCTAGTTACACATTGTGGGCGAAATTGAACCCTGGAGTAGGTGGATTAAATGAGGCCTTTGGTTCGTATTTTCTACCAGACATCACTTGGGGATAATTCTTCAAAGCCGAAAATATTAATTTTTATATATGCTTAATTAAAGTCAAGTAGATGATGGTTATTATAGTGTCAGAAATATATGAAAGGAAACCTGGTTTGTTTCCTGATGGAGAAAGCCAGCAGCCCTAATATCAAAGTCCCTCACATTTTCCCCCACCTACCCTCCCTCTCCTCCCCATTATAAAGCAATAATTTTTGCAAGTTTCTTATCTTTCTTTGAATTTTGTCCAAGCTCTTGAGTGTGTACTTGAGGCAGAGATAGCTTAAAGTATGCATGGATAATGACTTTTAAATAACAAATGCTAAAAATGTTGTATAGGATCAGTGTGAATACTTCATGGTTGTATGATGTGTATTCATAGCAGCTGCCATTAGTGTGCAGGATCACTCATCAATAAAGTCATAGCTTGTGTATGTCACTTATCAAATAATGGTGTTTACAATGTAAAAATGGAAACAGTACCAGATGCTATATGGTGAAGAACGTTTATCGCAATTGGCAAAATCAGTTGCTGCTTTAAAATGTTTATTTTGTGCTCCCCTGCAGAACCATTCCAGCCTGCTATCTAAATAAGAAGGCAATAAGTTAAATATAATTTGGTAATGTTAGTTTCCTAATGGTACTATGTGATCATGGAATCCACTGGCTATGTGCTGTAAGAAGAGGAACATGAATAGATTTTACATTGTATAATGGTTTGAAAACAAACCAGTGAGAGACTCCAAGGCAGAAAAACAAATTAAAAAGGAAAAAAAAAAAATAAAAGCGATAATACAAAGGAAAACCACAAACAGAGTCAGAATACAACCTGACACTCTGTAGTTAGGGTGGTGGTAGCAGTCCAGATGAAACAGTGGTCTCGTAGAAAAGATCTGGTAGCTCTTGTCCTCTGGAAATCCAGTGGGTAAAAGCCCCCTGTGCTGTACTGAACCCCAGTTTATATCCAGGTGGGAGCACTTGGCTCCTCCCCCTGGGTGGAGCATCTCACAATGGGTTGATATCAGTCTATGAGTCATGCAGTGGGTCCTTGATGGTCCATTAAACAGAAATAGCTCCTGGGGGGAGTTCTGTATGAGTCATGGGGCGAGGCATGGATGGGCCCATTAAGAGGGAGGACTCCTCCTGCTGGGTGGGAAGGTGTTAACATCTCCCCTGACCTTGAACTTCTTTCCTTATCTGTTATAGCCTGGGGTGTGAGGTCTGTCCTGGGCAGCTGCTACCCATGATTTTCTTAACAGCCCATGAGCACTGACATAGAGAGTATAGAATACACAGTTTTGGTTCTACCTGCATAAGGATACACTGGTCCCAGCCCCTGTAACCATGACACATTGGATTATATATGCTCCTTATTTCTTACTGACACACAGATATGTGCTGTGTTACTTGTCTGTAGTACTTAAAAATAGCTGTAAATTGTGGCAGAATTGTCACATAGTAATACTGAAGAGAAAAAAATCCAACCCAAAATTAAGGGTGTATGGAAAAATCTTAATGTGGCTTCTTGGTGTGTATGCATTGTCAGAAAGTCTATAACTGTGTCATCAGATTTTTCCCCCTTCTCCCTCACTATCCCTTTCTTCCTTCTGTACTAGACCAATCTTCTGATTGAACTGCTTTTCAGTCTGTTGTGTTATTTGTTCAGCATGGGGTCTAATGCACCATTCAAATACTGGTCTGAATGCAGTTACCTGTACTTTGCTGAATTCTTCTGCTGGTGTTGCACTGTGGTATTGAAATGGTTTGCAACTGTTAGATTAATCTTGTGCCACTTGTGATGAACAAATTATATTATACTCTTTGTATAGACAGGACACTGATGTGCAGGTAATTTCAATAAAATTGGGTACTTTTCCTGTGTTGTAGAAGATGCCTCCAAAGTCACCTCCTGGGAGAATGTGGAGTTTAAACTTTTTTTTTTTTTTTTTT